GGGGGGGAGGGGGGTCTCACAGCAAATAAAAGGTAACTAACAAAGAAAGCTTGTGAAACATGGTGGATAAACACAAGATTTTCCGGTTGTGCTTTATTTTTAATTTTATGAATTACATTTCTTAGAACTATRGTAAAACAATCTTGTTATACCACAGAATCAGTGTTTTAGTTTAAAACAAGAAGGCGTTGTACCATTTTATTGCCATATTGACTAAATGAAAACACTACAATAAAAAAAGAATTGTTTAGTTTCTTGTAAAAATGACAAAATTTGATCATTGCTTCAAAACATTTTATCAGAATATTTATTCAGAATGTATGAACACAAACCATTTTCAAATATGAATAATTCATTTTGTTAACCGGTTAATTAGAATGATTATTATAGCTGAAACTAAGCAGTGAGCCAGAGGTCCCAGCTGTAGTACTCACCCGTTTGTTTGTGTCAAAATGTTCTTCATGGTCTTGATCTGTTGGAAGTGACAGGACATGTCTGTGGACATCACCATCTCTATCACCAGGGATCTCAGTTCTCTGTCAAAAATCAAGCCAAAAAAGAAGATGGCGGAGGAGTGAGTCGTGTGTCGCGTGGGCTCCCCCTCCGACTTAATCATTTTATGGTTCTCTACTAAATGTCCTTGCTATTTTGAGCATTTGATCTGTCCGGATTCCACCCCTGAATGATTCTTGCCTGGAAAAATAGAAGAATGGCGACAAACTCGAGGAAAGGCAAACATTCCAGCTCTGCGGCTGCTAGGCCCGACACCGCCTCGGAGCAGACTGCAGCAAAAAACGGACTTTCTACGCCCTCCTCTCCCTCTCGCAACGAGGTGGACGCACTCTCCTTGAAGTCTGACATTCTTGCCGCTATAAAAACGATCTCTCAGCTGTGATCAAATCCGAAATAAAGGCAGCTTTGGCTGAAGAGTTTACTCTTATTAAAGGAGAGCTACAAGCGGTGAGAGCTGAAGTGGCTAACGGCACGATGCTACTGCTCGCAGATCTGGAACACATTAAACAGAGCGTTAACGAGGTGGAGGACGGCTTGTGAACATGGTCCGATGAAGTGGCTGCTCTGCGCACCACCGTGTTGGAACTGAAAGAAGAAGTCGATGGGCTCAAAAAGAAGTGTGACGATATGGAAGGGTGCATGAAAAGGTGCAATGTGCGGATTATTGGAGTTCCAGAGACGCCAAAATCCAGCTCCACTTCAGCAGTGGCTAAACTGCTAGCAGAGGTTCTACAGATTGATAAAGAGCCACTGGTTGACCGAGCCCATCGRTCTCCAGGTGGAAACAGGTCAGGCGATAAGCCGCGGGTCATTATTGCTAAGCTGCACTATTATCTAGAATGTGTGGAAATATTACGTCGAGCGCGGACCCGCAGCCATCTTCGTTTTAAGGAGGCGCCGATCACRATCACATCTGACTACACYGCYGCTGTGGCCAGGGCTCGAGCGGCGTTTACGGAGGTGAGGAGTCTCCTTTGCAACCGACGTGATGTTTGCTATGGCCTGCTTTTTCCTGCACGGCTCCGCATCTCTCATGGGGAGGAAAACAAGGAGTTCCTGGATGCCAATAAAGCAATGGACTACGTTAAAAAGAGGATCATCTCGGCGACGGACAGCGAGGACCGGCGTTGACCGCAGGTCCAATCCTCATCGATCCATTATGACTGTCAGGTTGTAATGAACCTTTTAACGTTATGTCCTGCGTTATATTTTGATTTAATTTTAGACATTATTCTCAGGAACACATTCCTCTTTTTGTTCTATGTATGAGAGTTTCACAGGGGGTCTGTCCAGATCTTGGTTAGTGATTTATTTATCAGTGCTGCAAAGAACATAAACAGTAATAATACTTTAAAGTAAGAGAACCCCTTTCTTTATTTTTTTGGTTATTGTTATTTAGTTGTGGCGGGAGTCCAGACAGGGAGTTAAGCCCCCCAGTATAAACACAAATGTGTGGATTTTTTGTTTGTTGGGTTCTCCGTTTTTTTAGGAGAAAGGGGTGGGACTATCCATCCATCCATCCATCCATCCATCCGTCCATCCATTTTCTTCCGCCTATCCGGGGAGAGATAGGCGTGGGACTTTCTATCTTGAGATAGGAAGGTGCTGGCCGCACGAAACTTGAATTCCTTACATTTGGAAAGATGTTTAACAATTCGGCTTGGCCAACAAAGCTCTGACCTACCCGGAAAAAAAAATCGCTATTTTTAATCTGAATGGAAAAATCAGGGCTATTTGACCAAAAGCCACCATAAGTATCTCTGCAAAGCCTTAGTAATCACAGAGTGACAGTCATTCAACTCATTTATGGAC